TACTATAGTTATTTTTCAGTAACCCCCCCAAAATACAATTGGTAACTATTGAGGCCCCAAAAGTATGGTTGGACGTTGGGGGATGTGTAGGGCGCAGGCTCATGAGACTGATCTTGACAAGTTCAGTCGAGAGTCGTTCTAAACTCCTCCTTCAAGGTTTAGGGTTTAGGGTGTCTGAACTCGTCTTTCAGTTCTTTGTTGGGGTCAGGACAGGCGCTGCGCACCAAACAAATAATCCCGTGGGTTTGCGAGAGTCAAAGCCTTTGCATCTCACATCGTCGAGGAGCATGTTCAGGACTTACTTCCCCAGATGCCGACAAGGACTTCAAAGCATTAATTCTGCCCACATCCTAAACCCTGAACCCTTCGTGTTCCGCATCTCTCGAGGCGCCATGGGCCACGCCCTGAGCCGTGAACCTCAAACCCTCATGTAAGAGCCTAATAAAATAATTACCAATACTATTTTGGGGGGTTCCTTATTATAACTATAGTATAATATGCCCCAAAACCCTACTCTAATTCTTAGGCCCCTACACTAAAACCCTAAACTCCAGCCAACCCGGTGGACCAAGGGATTAAGATTTGGGACCAGGGCATGGCTCTTTAGGGTGTATGTACGTTCTCAGGACCCTCATACCGACCGAAAGAGTAGGTACCTTAAACCAAGGACCTGAAAAGTATACTATACTGTATTATTGTGCATGATAGATAGTATATCATACGATAACTTAGTATATATATATATATATTATATATAGATATATGCACATATTGAAGCAGGTAGAGGTCTGCTTATGTATCTGTATATTATATTATGTTTTTGTAATTGGGAGCCATTCCTGAGGCCCACGCAGCCTGGGAAGAATGCCAGCATCTGCTCGCGGGCCTCCTTGCTGGTGGGCCTGGGGGGGCGCTCAGGGCTTGGGCTCCCTAAACCCTAAACCCTAAACCCTAAACTCTAAACCCTAAACCTTAAAACCTTAACCCTAAAAACTTAACCCTAAACCCTAAACCCTGAACCCTGATTCTAAAGTTTCGGGCCGTTTGGGGTTTGGGGTTTAACCTCGGGCTCGGGTTTCCGGGCTAAAGCGTAGTTCTCTAAACTAAGGTCCCTGTATAAATAATTTAGGAACCCAAAAGGAGGGCACCCTTACCAAAGGAGTCTAAACAGGAGCCCTAAATTTCGTGAACTACCCAACAGCTCGGACATCTCCAAGATGGAGGTATCCATCGCAGGCCTACGTCACGACGGTCACCTGCCTTCCAGCACTTCCCATGCCCCTCGCGCGCTCAGACAAGCCCTTGAGGTGAGCTCTTGCCATGAGGCTCTTATAAACCAGTTAGGATTACCCTGGGGCTCGAAAAAGCCCAAAGTAGGTACTATTTACAGACTTTAGACCCCAAAGTAGGTTCTATTTGTATGCTAGGAGCCCTAGAGTTAGGGGCACCCTTAGGAATGTACGTACACCCTCTCAGCAATAAGTTCCCTTTTACGAGGGCCGCAAGTAGGGTTAAGAAGGGTCCAATTTGAGGCGTCTCCCTAATATTACCTAGGATCTTAGCATGAAACCAAAACTTACAGTGCCCTGGCCCACAAGGGTTTAGGGTTTAGGGTTTGGGGCTTAGGGTTTGGATTTGATGGCTTCGGGTTTGGGGTTTAGGGTTTAGGGTTCACAAAACATACGATCCCCAAAGCCCCGAACAACCTCAAATCTAAGCCGCCGCTGAGTCCCGTGACCCTTCAAGTCAACCCTGAAACCAATGTGTGTAGGCACGTACGAAACGCCACACAAACCCATATCAAACTGATTCAAAACGGAAGAACAAGTCTGACTCTACACTTGCATAATTACTCCTTCCAAAACATTCCAAAACCCACTGAGCCCGAGCCCCACATGGAGTCTAGAAGCACCTTAGGCCCTTGATAAACATGCGCTAGCTTACTGTTTATACCTCCGTGTGTTCATAAAACAGAAAAAGCAGGTTTTTCGGAACACCCAACATGAATCCTGCTACAAGAAAACCATGATCTAATGAAACCTCTGTCGGAAAACTTGGGTACCCTCTAAGAACCCCTAACGTCAAGACGACAAAACCCTTGCAATAACCTTGAACCCTAATTACACCCCAACCAGGCCTTTAAAAACACTCCTCGCAAGAACCGTAAACCCAAACCTCTATGGGAACCCTTACCACAAACCTTGCAAGAACCCTAAACCCAAAGCCCCAAACCCTAAAACTTAAAACCCTGACCCTAATCCTAATCCCTAAACCCTAAAACCCTAAAACCCTAGGCCCCAAACCCACCGTTTCAAAAACAAAGGCAAAAACGCTTGCTGGGGCTCGGGCCCTGTCAGGGTGCCGTTGAGGGCCTCGGACCTGCATGCTACGGGGCCCCTTCTTGCGGTTTGGGGTTTAGAGTTTAGGGTTTAGGGGTTTGGGGTTTAAAGGGTTTAGGGTTTAGAGGGTTTAGGGGGTTTAGGGGTTTTGGGTTTAGGGTTTAGGGTTATGGCTTTATAAGGGGCTGTGTAAGGATTTATAAGGGTTGTTTAGGGGGTCTATAGGTGAAATTGCTTCCTCAGATTGAAACCATGGACCCCCATAGTATGGGCCCTTAACCCTGGGATCCTTACACACCTACTATATGTTCTATATGTGCCCTTAAGGGACTCTAGAAGGCGTGAGGGTCCATATTAGGGGCCCATACTTGAAACCATAGATTCATATGGATGATGCTATAAATCCTGCATTACCCATAATAAGGAACATGTCTAGGGTTCTTAAAGGTACTGCAGGATTTAGACCATCAGCTGTATGGATGGGTTTAGGGACCAGGGTTTGGGGTTTAGCTGGGTCCAAAGCTCAGGGTTTGGAGTTTGGGGTTTAGGGCTTCGGGTTCAGGTGGGGTTAGGGATTTGAGGCTCAGGGAGTAGAAGAGGGTTTGGGGGGCGGGGTCAAGCATGCTATAACGGCTCACGGCTACAAAATGAGGAACCCTTGAAGAGTAATATATGGGCCTTATTAATTAGAATAGGGTTTGGGGGTATATCATACTATAACTGCAATAAGGAGCCCCCCCAAATAGTGCTGGTAATTACTTTGGCCCTGTAGTAGTTGAAGGCTTCGAGGGTTTTGGGTGCTTGGGGTTTGGGGGTTGTTGAGGTTTTGCGGGCTTTATATAGGGGCCGTGACAATCAGAGTAGGGTTTTTTGGGGTAACTATACTATAATTGTACTCAGGAGCCCCCAAAAAATAGTATTGGTACTTATGTTAGGCCCCTTTTTGGCGGGTCTCGGATCTTCGTTCTGGGTCTGCGGGGTTTCTCGGAGTATGAGACTTTAGCCATTTTCGTTGAGAGTGTTACAGTGTTGGGGCTTTGGGGCTGGATGAATTTTTCCATCCCTGACAATGCGGACATGATCGGTCGTGCACAGGAACAAGCTGCTGATGTAGGACCCTGGCCCTAAACCCTAAACCCTATAACCCTATAACCCTAAACCCTGACCCTATAACCCTAAACCCCATAACCCCAAAATAATGGGATTCATATAAATGAAGTAAAGGCCCAGACGCTGGGTCTCTGGATCGGGTTCCCAATATAGGGGGCCCCAAGAATTAGAATGGGGTTCTGGGCCCGCTACACTAGATTATAATAAGTGACCCCCAAATTACTATAGGTGAAAGGTCCCCAGTAACGAGCCCCCAAATAGTTGTGATCATTCTTTAGGCTCCCAGAGTATATGGGTAGTTCTCTAAATTAGCGTGCCTTTCTAGGGTCCTTTTTATTAGGTTGCCGTACTATGTTGGGGGCCTAAAAAGGGACCCTAATTTAGGGAACTACCCATATGGGTAGTTGTCAAAATTACGGTCCCTTTTGGGCTACCCTAAATAATAGGTGCCGTATTCTGATAAGGACCCCAAAAGGGACCCTAATTTGGGGAACTGCCCATATTAATCCCTGAGCCCCAAACCCTAAACCCTAAACCCTAGAACCCTAAACCCTAAACCCTAAAACCCTAGAGCCCTAAACCCTAAACCGTAATCCCTGAACCCCTAAACCCTAATCCCTAAACCCTAAACCCTAATCCATAAAACCTAAACCCTAGAACCCTAAACCCTAAACCCTAATCCCTGAGTCCCCGTTTTCTGGGGGCCGAGGGTCGCTGCGAGGCTTGAGTCGATGCCGAGAGCTTTTGAGGCTCGCAGGGTTTAGGGTTTAGGGTTCAGGGTTTATAGGGTTTTAGGGCTTTTAGAGATTTGGGTTTAGGGTTTAGGGTTTTGTTGGTTTCGGGTTTTAGGGTTAAGGGTTTTGGGTTTAGGGTTTTGTTGGTTTCGGGCTTTAGGGTTTAATGGTTTTGGGTTTAGGGTTTAGAGTTTTAGGGTTTAGGGTTTAGGCTCTAGGGTTTAAGGTCGAGGGTTTAGGGGTTAGAGTTCTAGGGCTTTGGGTTTAGGGCTCTAGGGTTCTAGGGTTTAGGGTTTAGGGTCTAGGGTTTAGGGTTTAGGGTTTTAGGGTCGAGGGTTTGGGGTTTAGGGATTAGGGTATAGGGATTAGGGTTAAGGATTAGGGTCTAGGTTTAGGGTTTGGGGATTAGGGACGAGGGTTTAGGGTTTAGGGCTTGGGTTTTTAGGTTTTAGGGATTGGGGTTTCGGGTTTAGGGGCTTCGGGTGGACATCGATTTATCCACATGCCACTGGTAGAACTAGCAATACTACTGGTTGTGACAAGGAGTGTCAGTAGTATCACTGCTGTTGTTACGCTCACATTCCATAATTATTATTGCACCTTGGCTTTGAGCGATTCCAACTTCAAAGCCGTCCGTACGTTTTAGCACCCGCGAGCCGTCCGAATATGGTCCGCAGACCGGTTTCTTGGACCCCATGGCGAATTCGGAGTGTCTTGTGCATCCTGCACAGATTAGAAACTAGAAGTCAACTAGTTGCATCATATCAGCACCACCTGGAGCGCGCTTGCCCTGACCCCATTGGGGCTAGCGGGCCCCCTACGCCTGCGACGACTCCAGTATGGACTCAAGTGCAGCATCGTCAGGCCTCTGGCCCTGCTCTAGCACATCCAAAATATCTTTGCTAAAAATCTTCTGCAATGCTTCTGGGCTGTTGATGACTTGAGCTGCCGCCGGATTCATCGCTGCGAGCTGCTGAACCAAGGAGTTCTCTTGGATAACTTTCGTGAGAAGCTCGGGATTGGAAGCAAAATCCTGCACACGCTCCCTGACGCTCGGCTTGGCCAGCTCCTTCGTCAAATCCTGGTCCACACCTGATGAACTTCTCTGGGAGGCACTGGCACTGCTTTCATCGGCACCCTCAAAGGTGCCAGCAGTTTCTGTCATTTCCTGCAACACCTGAGGATCCATGCGCTCTCCTCGTCCGAAGCTCTGGAAGATCTCCATCCAGGACTCCAGTCCCTCGTGAAGGTTGCCTGAGCGCACATAATCCTCCAGACTGAAGCTCGAAGCACCCACAGGCTCGGAACGACTCGCCGCTGCTCTTGAGCTCATCGCAGCCAAGCCGACCCAAACGAGGAGGAGCCCGAAAGCCATGTTCGGAAAGAGTCTAAGAGGTTGCCGACCGGTGTGAAGACGCTTGGTTTGGTCTTCGCACTGAGCCAGCAGCAGAAGATGCAAAGCCGAAGCACCTATACGAAGTTACTTCGCTCGACGTCGCTGGCAGCTGCAAACTCTATTGTATTGGTATACCTCCTTGTGCCAGCTACTGCACTCTCAATTTTATTAGTATTATTGTTATCCACAATATCAACAAACTTTGGCTTCTGTTGTTGTGGTAAGAAACGCTACTATCTCTGCTGGTGACACTTCGTGGCGTGTCTACTGCTTGCTGATACTACAGAAGCATGCTTGCCTCCCATCGTACCACTCGTCCACCACGATAACCTCCTTCACATAGAGCCTGCGGTCCTGGTTCAGACAACGAACTTACTCTTAGGGGCTGAGTACCCTGGCCCAAAAAAGGATAACCTTTTGAATTATAGTAGGATTATACAATCCCCAAAAGGTTAAAGGTTACCTACTCAGCCACTAAGTACTAGTTTAGGGACAAGGTGTATTCACCAATCAAGGGGTATTGCGCCCATGGTGGAGCCCGAGATTGCTCTTCGAACAAGACGGCCCTTTTCCTACTCCTCTGTTTCAACTTGTAACTACTGGCTTGCATCAAACACCTAAGCCAATATACTGCAAGATACCACGATACGCCACCATATACAACAATCTACAGTAGTATACGATTATTACACAGCATCATGAAGTATATTCCACCATAATACACTGTGACATACCAGATCCCACAAAAAATGTCCGCTGCTTCTGCTGGTCCCTCCATTTGTTGCCGCTCCGAACCCTTACCATAGGGGCCTTAGTACTTCGAATAGGCTCCTGGAGCCCATGATAGCATAGTTATACTAAGGATGAATAAGTAGCCCACGTAATAGTATAGGTAATTACTATAAGGCCCCTACACCCTAAACCCTGAACCCTAAGCCCTAAACCCTAAACCCTCCCTAAACCCTGAACCCTAAACCCTAAACCCTAAACCTGAAGCCCCTAAACCCTGAACCCTAAACCTTCAACCGGCTCCTTGAGGTGCTCGAAAACGGAGCTCAGCGCCTCGACAGGTTAGGCTTTCTCCCACCGTGTGATATTTAAATATGGGAGTTTCCGAAAATTAGGGGTACCTTATTTTGGTGTCCTTTTAATAAGGATCCTACTATTTAGGGTACTATATTAGGGTCCCCTATTTTCGGGAACCCCATATAGGTTACGGGGTCTTACAGGGTTTTATAGGGTGTTGTTGGATGTTATGGGGCGTTGCAGTATGCGGGTTTTCATGAGAGTGCCAAGCACTGCGGCACCTGTCGGAACATTCCGCCATGCGCTCGCTTGGTGAAGTTCGTCAACATGGTGATGGTCACCTGCCGAAGCATGGGGCTGTTCTTGCAACTGGTTGAAAGTGACACTTTCTTGTTGTCGTACTCGTACTCGTACTCGTAGTAGCAGCAGTAGTAGTAGTAGTAGTAGTAGTAGTAGCAGTAGTAGTAGTAGTAGTAGTAGTAGTAGCAGTAGCAGCAGTAGTAGTAGTAGCTATAATTATTATTAGTAGTAGTAGTAGTAGTAGTAGTAACAGTAGTAGTAGTAGTAGTAGTAGTAGTAGTAGCAGTGGTGGTAGTAGTAGTAGTAGTAGTAGTAGTAGTCGGAGTAGCAGTAGCAGTAGCAGTAGCAGTAGCA